TTTCATTTTTAGAAAGACCTAATATAAACACACAAATCCTTGTGAAGTAGATGTGGTTATTGCTAACAAAAGATAAAAGCAGATATCGGAGCTCAAAACAGGGAAATACAACTGAAACTAATTGTCACATTCCCTTGGTGAGAGAGGTCATACCCCCTTCCAATCCTCTGTCCCCTCCTTTCTACAGAAATAAATGACACACCATTAATACCTCTAAAAGAAGGGGCATGTTTACAAGGTATGAGCAGTGAATGTATTTAAAATCTAATAAAGAAAAATATATGTGTGATATCACTGATTTTGCATCTCGTTACATGCCAATGTTCCTTTTTTGGAACATTGCAATTTTACGCAGTCCTGAAGAAATATTTCTTGTTATTATTTGAATTTCTTTCATTAACTCATTAAAGTTATCCTTTGCAAGTACGATGGGGAAATGTTTGGGTGGATTTGAATTTTTAGGAATTTTTTAAGTACCGTAAAAAAAGCCAATTTTTAGAAATTTTTTATGCTGAAATATTCATATTAAAAAAAATTAATTTTATGTCAAAAATTCAAGCTTACCGTCTATAATAAATGGTAATTTTTTCAAACTGACAGATATGATATGATAGTTTATTTTTTTTAAAAAAAGTATTAAACATGATGTTCCAAAAAAGGAACATTGGCATGTAAAAGGTTAAAACAGTCTATTTTAGTGAATATTACTAAAGATTTTATTGAGAAAATAATAACAATACGCTTTAGATTTCAAACATAAAAATTATATTTAAAATTCTAATGATTATATAAAAAACATAACAGAATGATCATTATTTTTCTGTTCGATATCAATAGCTCCCCTGATGCTGAATTTGTAAAAGTAATTTTATCTAGTTCACAAAACGAATACAAGCATCTGAATTTTCGGTAGTTAATCTGGTCCAAACTTAAAATAAATTTCATGTGTGAAAATATTTGCTCACATTTCGAAGTTCAACCGAATGCAGACAAAATGGCAAAGCCAGTTTTGTTTTTCAGGTATAAAAATTTCGTAGAAAATGATGACCACATGTTGATATTATGAAAAGATCATAACCTTTCCGCAGTGTCTTGAATTTATCCGCCTATAACACTCTTTAAAATCAATCATTTCTAAACTAAAATTGCCAATTTTAAGATATTGAAAATACTGTAAAGCTAAAACTTTTTCTTCTGTTTCGTCCGGTTTTATTATAAAAGTAAACATGTCGCCATGCGTTTTTGAAATCGATATTCAAATCCGCTTTCGAGCTGTTCACCACTGCAACTTTCCAAAATCCAATTTTCGAACGTTAATGCCGCTCTCATCGATATTTTCCCTTGGATTCGTAAATTGGATTCTTTATTATGGTTCATTATGTCTGTTAAGAACAAAAGCCTTAACAAACATTTTAATCATTAAGTCCGAGACCATGTTCTTCGATTTCATGAAGAAATATCACAACAGTCTACAAATTTTTCAAGAAATTTACCATCGTTTTCTTAATGTTAAAGCAAATCTCCACATTTCGATTCAATTTTCGTCACAAAAGCTTTGAAGCGCTTATTTATTAATGCTGATCGTGTTACTATCATGTCCACGATCTTTAGAACCTTCTCATTTCATCTTCAAGTTGTTGCATAGATGCCTTTTGCAAATAAATTTTCATCATGTATGATACAATGAAACAATCATTTTCCATTAGTTACACATATTCAATAACTTTTCATCTCCTAACTAGAACATCATAAGCTAATAAGGAAAACAATTTATTATTTAAATGGAATAGTTGCCCATTTCTTAAATTAGCTAACTCTTGTTCTTGACGAACAATATCAGTGCCTTTAGTCGTGTCATTCATAGAAGCATGACAGCAAAGCTCTTCATTGACTTTGAAACTATTTATTGATGCATATGTAAAGAAAACTGCAAGCCTACCATACCATTTACATTGGTACTTTTAATCAAGTGCAATGTTAATTACCTCACCAGGTAACAATAATTTTTGACTTATTCATCAATATTTTCAGCCATATCTCCAAAGCGATAATTCCATTTATAGCAAACAACAGCATTCCTTTAATTTTCTCAATGATTTGCTTTTATTCGCAAAGTCATAAATAAGTGTTTGGAATAATTTACGAATGTGTTTTTGTTTGGTAAGAAAACTTTTAAACAATTTATTTTGTTTTCCAAAATTTAATATACTTTTAGCAATGTATTCAGATTTTTGTTCATTTGGCATCTGACCCACATTTTTATGCTTTGAAGGCAGCAGTCACATCTGTACGCAAAGTACATTATCAATTTGTCAATATTTTCGATACATCCATACTTTTCGTTCTATACATCTTGAATTCTCTCGTTTGGTTTTTATTTGTCTATGTTAATAGTTTGTTTTAAATCATATATATTATTCACTGCACAACTGTCACTATTTTTGTGCTACTGAACAAGTGCCAAAACTGCGAGTGATCTCAGAGTATGACACTAGTGTTGCCATATGCCTTCAAAGAATTGTGGATTGGTGTTGACAAACTTATCGATTTCTCTTTGAAATTACATTATAATTTTTATTTTTTATATGCAAAAATGCATGCTCATTACGGCTTGTTATCAAATAAAAATATTACTGTTATTTCTTTTCATTTTTTATGTATTCTTCAATACTTCATTTCATATTTTGTTTTATAATTTATTTTTATATATTTTTGGAACTCAAGTGGGTCACTTGAAATTATGAAATGGGTCACTTGGTGATCTGCAAGTCATAGGTTGTGAAGTCTGATCTAGTTTATACAGACAAAAACAAATGCAAGTGTACTAGAATATTAGGTAGCAATTAAAATAAAATAACAAGTATATAATATACTTACAGTAACATTTAGTTCTACAAAAACAAATTCTCCCTCTCACCTGTAAGAATGATGCTTCAGAAATTTAAGTTGCTCGCAATTAGCTTTCTTTAAATTCACTCTTTTCGAAATGTTTTCAGCATAAAAAAATAACATTGAGTAGGTTTGTTATTTCTCTCATAAAGTAAAAAAAAAATGGTTATTATCCATTTTGAGTCTGTTGCTCAATTTTGGATGTTACAATAATTAAAAAAATAATTAATACTTTAATATTATATCATAGTTTACACCACAAATCTGTAATTGCACCAAACTGTCAAATAGTGAGAAAATCTGCAATATAAAATGGCATTAATATAGATATAAGTGAAAGAGCATGTAACTTAAGAACTTAAGCCATTCTTAATATTCACTAATTTAATTTCTGTTTCCTTTTTAGAAACAGGACGATTTTTTATGAATAAGAAAAAGATTACTAAGCTTCACATTAATTTATCTACTTCATAATAGCCTCCAGAGAAGTTTACACAGTTTTTCCAAAGTTTCTTCAAGTAATCCAAACACTGTTTAGAGGTGTTGGAACTAACCGTTCATAAAATAAGCATGACATTTATTTGATATCTGAGACGTTTTCAAATCTCTGCTCTTTCATGGTTATTTTAAGCTTCGGAAAAAGGAAAAGATCAGCTGGCTACAAATCGGGAGAATATGGTGGATGATTTATCACTGCAACTGAATTGATACTGTTGTACAAACAATGATGTATTGGGTTTAGTGTTATTGTGTAAAAAAAAATTCCCCAGAATAAATAAATTTCTTCCTGATTCACCTTATCCAGTTTCTTAATCAAAAATCAACCAAATACTTACTGATTGATTGATTTTCAGCAAAAATTTCCTCATGAAAAAGTCCCTCATAATTAATTTCTGTTTCTTTTGTATTCAAAACATACGATCAATATCACCTTAGTCTTTGATTTCAACACCCCTGCTTTTTTTTTCCTTTTTTTTTTTTGTATCAGAGAAGATTGCCCTTTTCCACTGTGGGCCGAGTGGTAAAGTCGCTGAACATTGTTCAGTTTGAGATTCGAATCCTGCGAACGAGCTTGGCTGCATGGTCATTTTCCCCATGTGTAATGTGTATATGAGCCAGTTTTCTTTAGAAAATCCTCCATGAAGGCATCCCTTACTCTAGGCAGATAGCCCTCGAGGCTTTGCAGTAATTACATAAACCAAACCAAACCAACCTTTTCACTGTGCCTTCATCTTTTTTTTTTTTACCCTGGATCGTACTGCAGACGCAAGGTCTTGTCTTCCACTCGGACATTCACTGATATGCTTCGAGAAATTCTCCTACCTCACAATAATAACAAAATATCCACAGCAATCTTTTCTGCTGTTAAGGCACAAATCGAGCAAAAACCTTCCTCCTTTTTAATTAAAATTAACCTACAGCATTCTTTACTTATTCTAGGAAAGTCTTAAAGTTGCCGAGTTGTTACACATCATTGAGATTTTATCAAACAGAGAATTTTCTCCATGCTTTTTGTATTGTTTAAAACTGAAGGGTGCCCTAACTTTAGTTAATCTCCAATGCTTTCGTGCCCACGTTTACAGTAGTTCTACCACTCATACACTTATGTTCTTGATAACAATGCATCGCCATACACTGTTCGACAAAATAACCAGTTTAAACTGGCTTTAACAAGAGATCAGATGTTATACTTTCAAATATACATTTAATTTTTCACATTTTTATTTTATTATTTAGTCTTTTAATTTGTCTGATTACTTTATCAATGCACCTTGTATTTGCACTTAATTCATTAGACATTGCATTAGAGTTGGCCTTTTCACTGTAGCTTTCTTTCTTTTAATGAGTCACTCCTTTGCAAATGCTTTCAGTATAAAAAATTAACATTAAATAAGTTGAAGTTTGATTATTATACATTCTGAGTATGCTGCTTAATTTTAGATGTAACAATAATTAAAAAATAATAAATGTTTTTAGATTATGTCAGAACATACTCGTAATATATTTCCCATTAAATATCTGTAACTGCACTAAGTTGCCAAGTGGTGTAAAATCTGCAATACAAAATGACTTTAATGTAGGTATAAATGACTGAGTATACAAATTAAGAATTTAAGATACTATTAACATTCACATTTAATTTCTGTTTCTTTTTTACAAATATTTGTGCTTAATTCACTAGATGTTGTATTAGAGTTAACCTCATCACTACAAAGGTTTTCATCTATATCAGAGGCAGAAACACTGGAATTTGACACTGCTTTAAGGATAGATTGTTGCTGGTGTAAGTCATCACTGATAGTTGCTTCTATGGGTCCTTTGGGTGGGAGCTTTTCTGGAGGGCCTGCATCTCTAACATCATAACTATGATGTGGTAAAGTTTCAAGCCACTGCAGCATACTAAAAGGAGAATTAAGGAAATTTCTTGTGGAGTCTTGGTTGAATGAATGCCGAACTAAAAAAATACTAAAAGACATACATAAAAGAAACAATAAAAGTTTATGCCAATACTATGCAGATAATATAAAAGGCTACTACAACTGAAAATAGTCAGATATGAAATGCAGAACTCAAATTATAATTTTATGGATATATTTTTTTGCATAAGTAAATTATTTATCTAAGATTAAAGCATAAATGGGTAGGCACTCCTGAGATTTGAGAAAGTTGCATAATGGAAGAATGCATTACCAAAACAGAGAAAGTGCCTGTCAACCAAATCTCAGTCAACACTGCCATAGCACCAAATTTATGTTTCCTAATAGGGAATAATGCACACAAGCCAAAATTGTTTGTGATGCTAAAATCAGCATATTATAGTATTACTATATCTGAAAAGCAGAACTTCAGTTACTTAAACTCTGATAAGTCTTAAGTGAGTGCTTACTACAAAAAAAAAAAAAAAAAAAAAAAAAAAAAAAAAAAAAAACCTACAAACTAATGTTCTTTTTGAAAAATGAAATTTCTGTTTCTGGAAATGTTTAATAAATCAGTCTTTTCTTGAATCATTTTGAAATTATTGTCTTTAGAATTTTTTTTTCATGATAATCAGATATTCATTTATCTGAATAATCTACCACAGAGGCATGCTTCTAATGTTCTTTGTGGAATTCTGAAATGTTAAATAATTTCTACCTTAGTTGTAAGAACATGTTTTCTTTTGAATAGTCAAAAATATATGTAAAAAGGTCTTATAAATACAATCTACATTTTTTCTTTAGAACAAAACAAAACTGAGCAGTTTTTCCCCCATTTTTATTCCATGTTTTTAAAGCACTTTTTTCCTCAATGACCACAATATTATTAGTGCCATAAAAATATTAAAAGTGAACTGATTTGCTGGATGGAGTTTGAATCTCTTTTATAAAATTTTTTAATAGTAACAATTATGGTATTGTAAAATAAATTGTACTCTAAAAGCCCTTTATACAAATCAAGCATCACTAAAATTTATAATTTATAATGGGCCCATAGTTAATGCCTTAAATGTTTTTTCATAAGTTCAATATTTTTCATGGCTTTAAGTGCCTTATTGGCTACATCCAGCTTCAGCTACACAAAGAGATAAATGCAAAAAAGAAAAATAGTATTGCAATGCAAATTTTAGGATATCTAATAATTAAGTTTCTTCAAAATAATTGGATAATTTCATTCTTGAACAATGTTTTTGATTTGATATAAAAGAGATGTCTAACAAGTTCAACAATTTTCTTTTTATTATGTATTAATATTTGTTAGATATTAGTGTTGTTTTAATTCATATATATGAGTCAAACAAAGACAATCCAATCAAGGTTTTTCTAGCCTGCAGATCTATTTCTGAAATTGTGATTTACCTATTTAAAATGTTCACAAAAATTTCCAGATCATCTCTAGTAATATTTTTATTTCCTTCATTTTTCAGTTGTTGAAAATTTATAAAACAATTAAAATTCTTAAAATTATATAATTAAAGAAGTGTAATAAAGCAAGGAATTGATTTTTTAAACTTTTATTATGAATGAAATTTTAGATTATGTAATTTTCTTTTAAATAATATATTATTTTTTTTTTAAATCATGCTAATAACTGATTTATTTTTTGCTGATCTTTAATGACTCTTCTCATCAACTTTTTTTCTCCTTAAGAATGGGTACCCATCACTTTCGCATTTCTTGATTTACAATACGGGTTACAGGCCAATATAACTAATGAAGTGGTGCAATATACTTCCATTTGGGGGGGGGGCAATTTCAATATGGCAATTAAATGAGACTCTTCTTTTTTTAATTCTCTCTTTCATTCAGTGGAAGACAAAGGGAAAGAAACTACAAATAGTTCACTGACTGTAGCAGACTGAACAATGAATAGCCAGTAGCTAATTACAGAATTACATGATGGCATATGCCTACATGTAAAAAAGGCTCACAAAATAAAATTAGAACTTTTGAAAATTTTATGAATAATTATTATAATGTCTAAACTTAAGGTTTTCCTGCAGTGATGTTAAATTATGCAAAAGCACAATAATTAAAAATTAAATAAGTTATTTGAAGCCTTGACAATAATAACAGTATTACTGATTAAGCCTTATCGCTCCAACAGTTTTCTTTAAATATAGTAAACTGTTCTATCTCTTCCACTGAAAAAAAAAAAAAAAAAAAAAAAAAAAAAAAAAAAACAGGAGCTCTTTTGCAGCGGTATGATATTTGACTGCCACATAACAGACCTGAGATCAAATTCTAAAGTCGCTTTCATCTTCAAGGGTTATGTGAAACTTGTGTGGTGCTGCACATTTCAATGGAGCTAACAAAGAGTGACATGAGCAAGAAACTATATACCAAGCAACACTAAGTCAGAGTTTGTACACATTTCTGCACACAGAAATTAAGTACTTTTAAGGACCATCAATGAAAAAAAAATTAAAAGGACCTATGAGCAAATGAGAACTGAATAAATTCAATTAAAAATATTATCTGTGCCTGAATTTCACTTTTGTAATACCACCCTAAAAATAAAATAGATCCCTAAGTAGTATGCTTTATTACTAAACATGAATTAATTAACATAATGATTAATAAGTTTGAGAATAAAATAAACGTTACGCAATTTATCAAGTAGCATTTAATATTTTACACTTATAACAGTTGGACATATTTGAAAGAAGATAAGTGGCATATATGTTTTACTAACAGTACAGCTTTAAGTTGATTTTTTTAATGTCTCATTTTGTCACATACTTGGTCAGTCTAGAGGTTTAGTAAGTAGCAGGTAGATTTTTATGTCAAATGACATACGTTAAAATGAGAAGTAAGATCACAATTAGCATGATTCATAACAAAAGACTGAATGTTGTCTCACCACTGCTGCTTGTCTAAAGAGAGACCTGCTGATTAAAACTAACCTGAAAGGCCTCATGTAGGCATGGTTGGCAAGTGCATGAGGCTTTTCAGGTTAGTTTTAATCCATACATTTCAGGTTAATTTTAATCCATAAAGTGCCTACATGAGGCCTTTCAGGTTAGTTTTTCAGGAAAGTTAGCAAGGCTCAGTTTGATGCAGTTAGTGTCATAGCTTCGTGTACTGTTCCAGGGGTTGTAACCCAGTTAATATACTTTAAGGTTCCAGTAAGACATTAAAGCACCAGAGGTGATAAGTTGTTTTGTATTATTTTAAGTCTCACTGGATACAAAGAATAAATTTTACTTGAATTTTTACATTTTTGTCTTTTATCTTGTGACCACACAGTGAGTATTAAAGAAAGGCAATAACTCGTTTTAATATGTAGAAAATTTTTTAAGGGTAAGCAGTTAGTTATAAATAATTAAATTAGGTAGTTAGATAACCTTAGTCATTATGGATTTACATGGCCACTATATTAAATTTTATTTTCTAACAATATTGTTAAAAAGCCCTATTAAAATATAATCTAATAAAATTTCAGTTTAAAATACATGCAATTTATGACATTGATTCTTAAACGATATTAGGATAATTACACATTAAAAGTTACAAGACATTTATGTTTCGTAACAGCAACACTCAACAAAAAAATTTATCTGTCATTTTAATTTGAGGCCTTCCCAAACATTTTGGCTAGTTAATATTGATTTCCTTCTCTTTAATCATCTTTTCTAACAATGAAAGATTTGTCTCAATATGCAAACCAATGTTCTCACTAGTTTCTGAAAGCTTTATCTCCTAACTTGTCAACCTCTCCACAATGTACATATGAAAGTTTACTTGATCTGATAAGTTAAATAGTCCAAAAACCCCGACAGACGTGAAGCAAATTATCACTATGTTTGAAAGTAACTACAGACAAAGATTTGAATAAGCCTCTTATTTAAAAAGAACTTAGAACATAAAGGCATGTTCTGATGCTAACAAAATCAATTACAGCTCCCGGTGATGTAATTAAACAAAAACAGTCAAATTCAAACTAAAAATGTGGACTAGTGGTCAAAGATTATACAATTTAATTTGAATTTAATCTGACTCAGTAACTCTATTGTAGGAGGAAATAGAAACGGGAAATTATAGTAAAGGCTGAAATCATAAACAATTGGGTAATTTACATAATAATAACTGCACATATCTTTGAAGAATAATTTTCTTTATGTTTTTTCTTCAGTTTCTTTCTTCAACATGTTTCCTTTTTATTTTAGAATTTTTGGATTTAAAAATAAGGATTTCTGTCATTCTAAAAAACACTAAATGCATTTAGAATGTATAGAGAAAGTGGCTAATTTTATTTCTTTAGTAATATGAACATTCATAGGAAATATGAAATATATATGGTAAAGCAGGCCAGTTACAGAGTGACGCAACGATTCCACTCCTACTAGCCCAGGGTCCCGTATATGTGACGCAACAATTCTGCTCATACGAGCCCAGCGTCACATATACGTGATATTAAAATGGAACGATTTATTTGAATATTTAAAAGAAAGTAAATGGAGCTAAATGGTAATTGTTTTCACATGGATTGATTCATACGGCATTTGACCTTCATGTACTGGCATTAGTTTTTGTTTTGTGCTTCTGGTTTTGAGAGATTTACTGAAATAAACAAACTGGAAATCACGGCTCTTTCTAAGTGCACATGTGATTTAAAGGATGTTTTTGTTTATTTCATTAGGATTTTCTTTTTTTCCCTATTTATTTTGAAACTTAACATAAGCTTTCTTGGTTAATTAAAAAGTAACATTACAACATTATTACAGAAGGGGAAAGACTATCAGCTTTCTCGACGCATAATGCATCTTGCTCACATTTCTCAGGAAAGAGCCAGCGTTTTTGTTTTTGATACTCGATTTAATAGGTCATTATATATAATACCTTGAATGGTCATTATATATAATGACACAGGCATTATATTTTGGTACATAATGTATTATTTACTTTACATATAATGTATATATTGACATGATCAGTAACGAATATCCCACCAGTGGGGGTATTTCTTTGATCAATTTCCGGTAATCGTGGACGCTGTTTTCAATTTAGAAAAACAGGAAGTTTTCTAATATAAACCTGATATCACACAGTGTTTGAGGGTAAAATATTTCTGAGTGTCTTTTGAAGTTTTGTTACATGTGTTGGGGTTATATTCAGTTTCATTCTGTTAGCCATGGCTAAGAGACCTTATTTAAAAACTTAAAAATTTGTCCAAAATCACCAGACACTCCACCTTTCCATGCAACTGGAAGACAGTTTCTGAAATTCACGTTGACGGAGGAGGTTATAAAGGTAGGAGAAGATGCGTTGTGTGCACTAAAACCAAGGAAAAGCGAAAGCAAACAACGTATTTTGAGTGTGAAATATGCAATGATGGACTGTGTATCGATCCTTATTTTGAATTATTTCACATATGGCAGAATTTTTAAACTGGAATTTAATTACCTACAGGTAATTATCGTTTAGATTTTTTTAAAATTTTGTATTTGTAATTTTTTTCATATTTATAGTATTTATTTCTGTGTGTATAATTATGATTTTAGTATTTTGCCTGTTTAACTTATTTCTATTAATGTGATATTCTTTAACTGCTGAAAATGTGTGGGCCGATGGCGACGATCCATTTCAGAGGCTCCGGTCCCGTGACTGCGCTTCATTCTCCCGGCGCTGGTCCTTAAGGAGTTAAGAGCTCTTTTAGAAAAAATTAATTTCAAAATGCTTATGTCTCACTTCTTGCTTAGAAACTTGAGTATCCCATCATTTATTTTAGAAATAGAAACAAATTATAACCCACGAATCCATTCAAAAGATAACCAGTGAATCGCCAAAAAATATTCCTCCAAAATGCTAATTCACACTCAAAATGGCAGTCATAAAAACAGACAGAAATTTCAGATGATTAAAATTAAGGACTTTCTGCTGATTTGGGCCAAAATTAAGGACCAAAAGTCGATTCCAAAAAAACCTAAGGACTTTTAAGGACCGTACAAACTCTGTAAGTGAACATACCACCATTAAAAGGTCACACTGGCGACCCAGAGAAGTACACACTCCACCCCACTAAATGATGACAATGTACATCATACCTGCCAAGGTGCTCCTTCACACATGCTCTGTCTCGAACATAACAGCAACATACATGCCAACAAATGATGTCCTCTTAATAACACTCCATCATGCAACAATGGGTCCAATTTAGCTTGCCCACACATCACATCCACAGCTCATCAACATAACAATCAATCTCATTAACACACTGGGTCCCACAACCCTGCCTGCAATGCACACTTAGTTCACAATTATCTATCATATTGCCTCGTATAGTTTGAGCAAAATGAATGAGCCTATGATCTTATACTCTAAGTAGAGGAAAAGGTATGCAGCCTATTTTGTTACTCAATATCTTTGTAGGGATTTTTAATGTATTTCAGCTGAAAAAATTAGCATTCTGGGGAGCAACTAGTGATCATTAGTGTAAAAAATATTTAAAAACAAATGTCTATATTTAAAAAAGTATATTCAATATTTTCTTCTATGATTTTGTTTTATAAATTTCTACAAGATAATTTTATTTTTATGGTTCTATTTAATTTATTTTTATTTTTATGCAGTAAGCTTAAGATTAATGAATATTATTATTCTTATTATAATTAACATTATAATTGTATATTTACATGCTTTCAAATTTAATTTTTCACTTATTGAGAATATTTGGGGCATCTAATTCAGTTGCACCATTCACAGTTTTGCAGTAAATTAGAGAGTAAAGCTCTAAACATATGCTTACTTCATATAATGGTTAATGTAGCTATGCTTTTAAGGTAATGCAAGTGTGCTTTCACCACTGAAGTAGAGAAGCACATATATGCTAAGTCTCAAATTTTAAACATACTTATATATTTGTAGTTGATTAAATAAGATAAATTATTTAATGCTAAATAGTTAATTCATGCATTTTCTTTTATTTCCATCTAATATAAACCAATATAATTTCAGTATGCATTTGAAATTTTTTACCAAATATCACAATAGAAACAAAGAGAAATTTAATCTACTAAAAAATTAGGGAGCTGAGTTAAAGATTTGAATTCTTTATTATATAAAGAACTTTATAAATTTCTTTTTCAATATGAGTAATTTTACATCCTTTTATTATACTGGAAGAGAAACTCATCTAATTTATGTGATGGGTAAAAAAAAGCAAGCTTAGCTTCATGTAGATTTTGAAAGTGATTAGATAGATATAAGTTGCTCATTTTCAGGAGCAAAAAGACTTTTGCCAAAATCTAGGCCGAAATAAGGCTTTTGGTGGGGGTCTAATTTTAAATAACTCCTTTCCTTACAATTTATAATGTCTAATTCTATTTGTCTTGGAAATCATTTTACTGTACATAATTGACATACAGATATATTTGTGAATATTTTCCCTCTTAAATATACTATACTATCAAAATTGAAACAGATAAAATTTGAATTCATTAAAACAGATAAAATATGTTAAAACACACTAAAGGATACGATTTTTCTTCTCTCTCTGTTTTTGCAATATTCGCACATATTTTTTCTTGTTTAAATGTCTCAATGAATTCCTGCAAAGAATAGACCAGTTTAAACAATACATACTATATATCAAAATAAAAATGCATTAAATTATAGCATTAATATACGAGATGCATTGTAATTTAGTGCACTGCAATTATGTATTATTACTTTTTAATAATGAACAATTTATTCAATCTGAGAACCACAGAATAGTTCTATTAAAATTTGATTAGCAATTAAATAACCACTACTCAAAATATGGTCAAAAGCAACATTTGCTTTCGTTTCCTATCTTAAGATGATTTTGAATATGAAAATGTCTGATAGATATATCTAAACTTCCTGATTTCTTGATTTTAATTCTAAAACACTGATTGGTGATGAAATAGATAATCATCTCATGCCCTTTAATCATTCTAAAAGGTCATTATATACCCAAATATTCTCCAAACCATTCTAGAGATGCATAATAATAGTTTGATGCTGATAGTTTGATAAGCATAATTAGACATTAAAACAGTTATGATAATACCTTGATTTGGTTTATCTGATTATGGTAAATCACATTAGGACTACCTACCCAAGGGAAAGGATGCTTTTGTGAAGGACTTTCTAAGGAAAATTCGCTCATATCCATGTTACACATGGAAAATTTCGCGAAAACACCAGTGCAGCCTGGGCATTTGTCTGGAATTGAGCCCAGGTTGAACTATGAATGTTGAGTGACTTTACTGCTCAACCCATAGTGCCTTGAGCCCCATAGGTCTTTACATGATTACAGGAAGTCTATATATGTCTAAAGTTCTCAAAAAGTATGTTGAAATGCTACAGATGCAATATGCACATTTACTTTACTTTACAGGAAAACACATAAAAAGAAAACTGCTTCAAAAATAATTTTCAGATGAGCTATTCACATTATTCTAAAGTTTTAATTAGCAAAACACATTAATAAACTTCAAAATTAATTAAAAAAACTACAAGAAAGACTATTTACAAGAAGATGTACCAAAATCTTTCACGGAAAGTGGGAGGCAGGCAATCAGAGACTCAGTCTCAGACAAATACCCATATCAGAATCACTAGAAATTTCACTTTAGAAATGAATCATCACTCTCCATAACATGGCATTAATTGGCTCATTTACTATGCGAGTATAGCTTTCCTCTGATAAATAATGCCTTCTTGCGATAATAAACTGGAGTCAAAGCTTTCCAAAATAAAAAGGAAAGAATACAAAATATATACAAAAGCAACATAAAGCCTACAGACCCTACAAAGTGGAGAAAAAAGGTGATTCAGTGGAATATCAGAAACACAAATGTTTTATATCACGTGGCAAATTAAAGAGACAGGACCTGCTTGTTTATATTATGGCCTCCCCCTCGAATGAGTAACGTTTCTTTCATTTCGAGTAGAAGGTCAAATCTACATGTAGCTATGGACATGCAATGCCATCTTGTGTTAAAAGTTATAATTTTTAAAATGCTCCAAGACCCTAGCATAAATGTGTGATGGTTAGGGGTGAATAAGAATGCCAGTCGGGAAATGAATGAATTTCTTGACATGAATGACATAAGCGTGACAATTGCAACAAAAGGGTTAAGCTTCCATCCTAATTTTGACAGACCCTGGGAGGAGGACGGTTTGAGGGAACTCATCCCCTTCCCTTCAGACTTTGAACAGGAAGCTTGTGAAACCATCATAAAAGCAAATTTCAGTATTAATTATTAGCCCAAAGAGGTATTACCCAGAAGGGCTATTAATTTCACATAGGAATTTTGCCTCATCCACTATAAAATGGTGTTTCACTTTTCAAATTGTTACCATCAAATATTAGAGCCTTCATTGCATTTAAAGAAATTAAAAAATGAAGAATCTGCCCAAATGTATGTGTGGTTCTAGCACTATGAAAAAACAAAAGTACCTAGAGACATCAAATTTTGAATAATATAGTCTGCACTCGAATATGGGCATCTGGAAGCCCAAACTTGGAATTTGTTTTATTATCTATTTCATATTTTGTTAAACTTTAATGGATTTTTGATTAACAAATTCAACGATTTCAAAGCGAGCAATGGCAACACTATGTGGAGAGAACAAAATTATCTCCAGAGTGCGAGACTTTGTATCGAGAATTCTAAAGATATGCTCTTTTTAAATAATTTGTGATATTGCTGTTGAACTGAATTTTATGGTTTAAGTGTGAAGAACATAATATTTAATAAATAAAGGTAACATACAAAATGTTATAAAAATGCCCCTTCGGGCATAATATAAAATCTGAAAGCAGATTTTTTACTTTTATTACTCAGCTATGTTTAATATTTCAGGTAATTTTACTGAATTACCAATCAGGATAAAATATGCCCCATGAACGTTTAATATGAATTCTCTCCATAATAGAATAAAGAATTACACACTTCATGACAGGGAATAAAAATATTATTGCACCACTATAAAAAGACAAATATACATATACTCAGATATATTTTTTTAAGCAATGAAAATAAAAAAAATTTGGAAATTTTCTTTCTTACATTGTATGCATCCCATTTTAATGGTTCATGCATGCCATCAGATCCATACTTTGAATCATACCAGTCATAATGTAACTCTTCTAACATTAGACCTAATCCAGGTGCCTTTGGAATGTCAATCTGTAAAACATATTAGTAAAATCATTGTTGAAGAAAAATGTAAACAATAAAATTCATGGAGAAATATGCACAATAAACATATACACTTGTGTGAAAAATTAAGAAAATTTGCAAATTATGTCAATCTTTAATGAAAAGTATTGAACCAAAGGTACTAATTAAGGCACCGAATGAATATGTAAATAATTACTTAAATGCAATAGCATACATGTGCATGTCTGCACAGCTGTGATTGTGATTATGGAGGGGATATATGTGCCATGAGCAGCAATTTACGTACATGTACTGCTTCATGACATTTGCTGCATTTCTCGCAAGAGTTGGGTAAATTTTAAAATGTATCTGGTAAAATGAGTAGCCATGAACATATGGATGACAGAATGAAATGGAGAATTGTCGTTAGACAATCATAAATGCAGGTGGATACAGACCTCAATGCCTAGTGTCATTCGCAATTTGTGGAAACAGTTTCAAGACACTGGTTCTATATTGTGAGGATTGTTATTTGGCACTTTCAGCAAGGCGATACAGAACTGCTACAGCTTCACAGCTCTCGTGTGAGCTGTATGCTGCCACTGGAAGCTAAGTTCCACAGTCTACAACTGCCAATTACCTTTATAAAATAGGGTTGTATGCAGAAGTTTGTGCTGTTTGTGTCCCACTCACAGCAGTACACAAGAGTATACAAGAGTATGCATTTAACAAGGTGCAAACAACGTGCACCATTGACCAGACTTCAGTGGAACACTGTGAAATTCCCAGATGAGTTGAAATTCAGCCTGGGCACTAATTCTGAGTGTACCTGTACCTGGATAAAGAGCCTAGGACATAATACCATCTCTCCCTCATTAGGGAAAAGGATCATTATGGTGGTGGAGGTATAACAATTTGGACAGGCATTATATTGGATGGCTGAAGATCTCAGCATGTATTTGACAAAGGCTTCCTGATTGCTATGAAATATAGAGAGATCTTGTGAACTTCTGCTTAGAAAATATTTTTAATGATTTCAATTTCTCCATTTACTTCTTCAAAACTGCAGACACTAAAAAGTTGTACGTATTGAATAATCATTTTAGGTTATGTTTTTCTTAAGCTAAATCACAGTGTTAGATTGCTTATGAATATACATAATTGAAAAGAAGTGTCGAATCCACTTTCATGAGATTGTTGAAATTGAAAATGTTGGAAAACATACTAACATAGAATTTTCTGCATCAAAAAATCGAAATGTTCAAAACGAAAAGATAAAATTAAGAACTGTCACCAGGGATATATAAATTATGTTGGGTGAAATATGTTAAGATTTTTTATGAATATATAAGCTTAATTTAGTCATAGTACTATGCTCTCCTTGATTCATGTCATGTAACTCACTCCGGCCACAAGGTTATGCAAATTAGCACACATGCAAGAACATTCAAAATCTACAACAGTTTAACTGAAACGAGGGCCAGGGTCAGAATTGGTGTAACCCATAAGGCCACACTGGCACTGCGTTTGACTTTTCAAAGGTGCACTTGATCTTGGGTTCTTGTTAATTAATGTCAACATTCGTCCACATAGGGCTCAGCTGGTGGATGAATACCTGAAAAGTGAGGATATCTGCTGCATGGATCAGTCAGACCTCCTCCTGATGTTAACCCTATACAGTACGTCTGAGATGCTCTTAGGAGGGCAATTTCATCTCACCATCCTCATCTGAGAACCATTCCTGAGTTAAAAACTGCCTCACTGCAAGAATGGAATTGACTGCCACTATGTGGATTTTGGATATCCCTATGCTATCAGCTTTACTGATAACCATGTGTATATAAAATGGCTTTTGAATGGTACATCAAAAAGCTTAATACTAGTTTTTCAAATTTTCCCATAATACTTAAATAAACTGATCCATCATTGCATAGTCTTCATAGTCTTAATTATTATTAGAGAATTATTACTAGTGAATAAAATTATGAGTTTTTTTTAAATGCTCACAATAAGCACTTGCGATCCAAAAACAGGAGTGGGAGGTAGGCACAACAACAGCAATCTATTTGAATGAAATCAAGCACACAGGCTTGTGATTAGAGATTCAAATAATTAAAGTTTCATACTTGTCCACGCAAATGGTGTCAGCAAGGGCAAGGCTTATTGGTGTACCTATCATACTATGAAAGGTAATGTATAGGTAATTTTTATTTTGACTAGTGCCGCTGTATTAAAGCTATCAGTTTAAAGAGCATTACACCTCTGAAATAAATTCAACAACAATTTTGAAAGCTGGATGCATTCAAGAAGGGTCACTTTATACAAGTGCTTGAAGGCAGGCAGTCATTTTTTCATATTTTTCACTACATTGCTCACGTGAATATTACTGATGCATGTTGCAGGCAGTATTGGATTCAATAAAGTATGCACTCAGATATGCAGGCCATGGAAGATCCCCACACAGAAGAATGAAAGAAAGCTGAAGTCTAATTTGACACGACTAAACTGCCCTATCTGTGATGATCAGCAAGCAGTGATCCTTCATCTCAGCAGATGGCTGAATACTATTGGACTGCAGACCGTTATGAGGGGCACTCCTGACACCACAACACCACCACCAAATTGCAATGCTGCTACAAAAGAACATCATGTAATCATGCTAAAGCATGTACACTGCCTTTCAGCAAGTCTTGCTTTTGTCCTGGTGACAATGAACAATATATTTAGCTCCGAAGACATGCAATCAGCACCACAAAAAACATTTTGTTGCCCTGTATCATATACTTAGATGAATGCATGCCACGATGTCCAATCACTGTTTATCACTAGATCTTTGACAGCTGAATGGCACACTGATGAGGTCCTTCAACCAAGGGCTGTGTAATTTGCAAGAGCCAACAGGATAATGCTCATCATCATACTGCTGTTATCTCAGAGGCTTTCCTCATAGAGATGGACATTCTGCCATTGCAGCCATATTACAAAGCTGATCTATCAAAATTTGAATGTTCCACAATATCTATAAAAATAGCAAGACAGGGTCCAATTTGCAAAGAATGAGCTAATTCAGAAATATGTTAACAGATCTCTATGACTCCATGTTGCAATATTCAGCAGAATGCATTAGAAATAATGGCAGCCTACTTATGATTGAAAGTCATAGTATTTTTGCTAGTTGTACAATAAATAGTTGTACTTCCATTCTCATTTTCGAAACTTTTATTGTTGTTTGTGACTAATTGTTGCTGTTTAATTTTTCAAATGGCACTTTAATTCCATACTTCCTTATGCATGAAACATTTTCTGACAGTGACTGTATATATGAATTGGTACTAAACAAACTTACAAAAAAAAAAAAAAAAATCTGTAGAAGGAACTCAGTTATTTTAGTATACAGTGAAGGTCTGATAATATGGTATTCAATGATTCAACCCCTTTCATCAATATTCTTGCTACAGTATGGCACTACCATTATTTCATTCAACAATACCGGAAGAGGCTCAGCAGTTACTTCATGCACTTGCCATTTTCAGCAAGTCTTTTGTTTAGAACTCTACATCTATATAATGTTACATACAATGTTTCTTTATTATTATTTAAAATATTCTCAAAATTTGAAAAAATATGACCAAATTCCATGAAGCAAAACAGTATTGGAGGTACAAAAAATATTTATAAGCCAACATTTATATTTAAAAGTATTATACAATCTAAAGTCTTCAATTCGGACATCCATAATCCGGAATGACCTCAAAGCTACAAACTTTCTGCACATGCAGAATACCTTTACTCATGCGCGTTTAATGTATAACGGACAGTATAAGCTAAGCTAAAATTATCTAATTATCTATTTCAGTTAATGTTGCAGATTGCATTGTTCCTTAATCTTCGAATTGGATCCAGCTTGTTATTTTTTGCAGACTGTTAGAGCAATTTTATAAAAAGTAAGCTTGAACTTTTGATTATGTCAAAAAGAGTTTCCAATTCTGGAGCTACCAAAGGATCTACAGGAAAGCATGTTTCGATGTCCATTACACAAAAAGTGGAACTGCCCCCCCCCCCCAAAAAAAAAAAAAAAAAAAAAAAAAAAAAGAAAAAAAAAAAAAAGAAAAAATGGATAAAGACATGAAGAAAGTGACAGGCGATTTGTTTCTCTAACTATTCCAAAATCTAGTTTATCAATTTCACACTGCTCTGTGGGGGGGGGGACCTAATTATCTATTTCAGTTAATGTTGCAAATTGTGTTGTTTCTTAATCTTCGAATTGGATCTGGCTTATTATTTTTTGCGGACTGTTAGAGCAATTTTATAAAAGCAAGTTGAAACTTTCGATTATGTCAAATAGAATTTCCGAAGCTGGAGCTGCCAAAGGAATCTACGAAGCGAAAGGATGTTTCGATGTCCATCAAACAAAAAGTGGAATTGCTGCAAAAAATGGATAAAGGCTCCTTTGTTTCACTAACCATTCCAAAATCTGTTTATCAATTTCACGCTGCTCTGCGCAGGGGGGGGGGGAACCTTGCGGCGTGCAATGAACTGGAAGTTGATCTGTCAGCACTATCCTTATCTTTTATTTTATTTGGCTTATAATTCCTCACTAAATGTAGTGTTTCATCTCGATGTACTCCGATATAATTTAAATCAATTTCCTCATCATTATAAATATCACGAATACACATCAAATAGTTTTCTGGTTGCAATTTTCTAATTTTGACTATGCTTAATGTATGCTTTATGCATGCGCGCATTGAAAGAAATGTTTAATAAAGTAAACAAATAAATATTAAGCTTTTTCTTTTTTTTTTTTTTTTTTTTGTATATTTGGATACCCTTTAGATCCTAATTGCTCTTTATTTCATAAATTATGGTTTCATATTTTTAATTTTATAATTTCTGTATGCCATCTTACCAGATTTAAACTGATGATCTATAATCCGGAAAAACTGATAATCGAGAATCGCCGAAGTCCCAACGAGTCCGGATTAAAGACTTTTGACTGAATATAAATTACATTACATTTTTTAAAAGAGGTATATAGATGATATATTTGTGCTATGGAAACATTCAGAAAATTAATGTGAATTCTGAAAATTAATTCTTGCTATGCATTATTTCAGAACAATTTCCCCAACTCATAATTTACAGTCAACTGAAAAGTCAAAAGTCAACAGCATTCAATTTCTTCATCCTTTAATTATTAGAAAACACAATTTTCTTCAGATTACAATTTATCATAAGCCAATTGCAGCCCAGCAATAACCCTATTTGTATGTTCCCCTTTTCATCTGCATAAAGCAGAGCTGCCTTTTATTTTTATTTGTAACATGCAAGGATTTCTGTTCCACACTGCTGAAAACAATAGATATCTTCCTGATTTTGTGAGAAAAAATCTTACCAAGAAAACCAATAAACAAGCTTCTACAGTCATTTTTCAAGTATTGTTGTTATCAAAGCAATCATCAAATAATAGTGAATTTCCCTATTCTGTCAGCCTATGTAACTGCTCCATTTTTAACGATTAGGTTATAAACTTGCCATCACCTTAGCCCCATCCATCTGGAAATTGTTAAGATCTGATAAATCAGGTGCCTCCATAATAGGTGTGTATATACTATCCTGATTCGTAACAAGGATACAAACACAGAAACTCAGTATATGGGCTCAAAATATTCAGAAAACTGTCAATAAGAGAAAGAAAAAATGAAAATTTCATTGAAGAGAAAAAAAAAAAAAAAAAAAAAAAAAAAAAATCTCCAAGCTCTCTTCCAACCATTTCACGAAAGAAAAATGGCATATCTTTAGTCAAATACTTCATCAAGCATCCATAATCAACAACTCATTTGGACAGACAAAAATCATCACCAAATCTCTGCATAAATATAGCCTCAAATTTAAAAAAATGCATCTGAAATTACTGCCAAGCTGTGTTGCAGCAGACACCTTCCCTTCAATTTCCTATACATATGGGAAGTCAACTCTGAGTACAATAATCCTGTGGAAACCATTAAAAGATGATGAACATGATAAAGCTATCCATTCTAGCTACAGCTGACAAAACAAATGCTGTGAAAGCAAATGTATCTGAGAAAGCTTCTGTACTTTTTTCTAGTGCTTAAGCATGGTTTTAGCATGACAACTCACAGTATTTTATCTCATTTTTAACTTTATAATCAAATGTCCAATCTTTTAGAAATATTAAAAATATTTTAGTTTCAATTAGAACGATACATAATGCTTTTAAAAAACAAAATAATGGAATGGACTAAAAATGACAAAAATGCAACAAAGAGCAAGAGTTAAGTGACATTATAACTTAAAGTGTATTGAATCTGAACATGGCAAGTGAAACAGAAAGTAATAATGAAGGAGATTCAACTAAGATCACTTGGTATCAGACTAATGAAGTGTGAAATACATTTGCATAATTTCTTGCAGAAATAAAAAGCATAACATAATCAATATTCACATGCAAAGCATTTTTGAAAAAAGGAAGGGGGGAGGCATGGAGAGCAGAATTTATGAAGCAGATGAACAACCTTGCCTGAAGAGATTTTATGCATTTGCAATGATAGATATTTCAAAGTAAAACTTACTTAATGTAACTAAATCAGTTTATCTACTAATGAATTTATCTCATTAAATATACTTTCAGAATTACTGCATGCACTTTTTTTCATTTTTCAATGCATTCATTTATGGAAAAAAAAAAAAAAAAAAAAAAAAAAAAAAACCTGTTTTGCAGCATTATAAAATTTAAGTTGGATAATTTAGTATTGCTAAAGGCCTGAATGCACCAGAATATCGGACTTTTGCTCTATTATATTAATAATTGTTAAAAGCATAAATATTTAGACAATATTAATTTTAAAAAATTGTACTGTAAAAAATAAATTGAAAAGGAATTTTACACCAAACAAACATGTTATCTTACCCGTTCCTTAAGCCAAATTTTTTCTAAAATACTGTCATCAGCCAAATTGCGCATGAATGCTATAGTAAGTCCTACCATCTTTCTTATTTGATGAAGCATAAAGCTCTGTCCTTTGATTTTTATCACTGAAAGTTCTAGACCACAGGATTCAAATGGAGGGCCACACTGAAATTTACATTGATATATATATATATATATATATATATCAATGTAAATTTCAATTAAATATATATACAAAATACTAAAATAAATATTTTTTCATTTCACATTTTGCTATACAAGAAGCATTAAAAAAAAATTCTGCCATCAGCAAGTACATTGTTTAAAACTTGTACCTTAATGTTTAAAAAAAAAAAAAAAAAAAAAAAAAAAAAAATTAAAATAAAAAAAAAAAAAAAAAATAAAAAAAAATCCATTATAAATAAAAAGTGCTTGTCAAAATAAAATCATTGTAATTATGATATAGTTTAGAAATTATGAATTTGACTTTCAATTTTACATATTTACTTATGATACAGTTCTAATCATTCAGAAACCACAGAAAAGCACATTTAACAAGATAATTATCAAAGCATTATTACTAAATGGTCTTTCTACTGTGAAGGAATAATATAAAATACTAGACTTTGTGTTTACAAAATGCTTTTATGTGTATTGAATCTATATTCATGAAATCCTCTATCTATTTACTACTGGGAATACATGTCTACAATATGTATTTAAGGAAATAAACCATATTTTTCAGACCTCCTTGCATAGTAAAATAAACATCTTAAAATATACGGGTTCAATTGTTAATTACGCACAGGCAAAGGAGCTCTTTGCCAATGGGAAAAAATGATTTCGTAAAAGATTTTCTTTCAAAAACTGCCCTATATTTATGTTACTCAAGGGTAGAACTAAAAATTTCTTTCAGCAAGAAGCCTGTTCTTGTACCAGAAATAGAACTAGGTAAATTCCTAGTTTTTAGCAGTTTTAGTCAATTAGCCACTTGTATGCTTTTTGAATCAAAAGAACAGAGGGATGTAATGAAAAATGTCATCTCACTGGTTCATTAAATTCATTTCATCATAAAAGACACTTTCAGAACTGCTACTGAATTCTTCTTGAACTGTGATAAAAATCTTTTAATTATTAGAATACATAATATATTTATATCATTGATCATTTGTCATGAAACTTACTGGAAAACTTGCACTCACAATTAAGTTGTCAAACAAAATTTTTAATATGGTTGTCCAATATTATCTCTACGTATAATAAAAGAAAGAGTCTGTCTGTGTGTGTGTCTTTTGTTCGCGCTGCACGTAAGCTAATAGACCCACGACTACGAAGTTTGGTACATAGTTGCATCTAGAAAAGAGCCAGTGCACCTCGAAGCAATTTTTCTAAAATTCGAATTCGAATTTTTTTAATTTTATGTTTTGTGATGTAATCGCGTCATTTTGAGACATAATGGGCTATAGGAAAGCGGGATTTTGCTCTACACACTCCATTTTCCCATTGTCATGAAACATAGGCACTTAGCTATTTTACGAACTTAAAATAAATTTTGTGTTTCAATAAATCGATTAAATACGAATTTATTTAACAAAGGGAGCTTAACAACTTTTCAACGATATTTTTTCTAAAATTTTTTTTTTTTTTTTTTAAATGTACAGTTTATTTTTCTTTGATTTTTGGACACGTTAAATTTTTATCCTTGCAACTGCTTTTACAAAAAGAATTTTGGAAAAATGATGCATTTTTAAAAATTTTTTTAAGTGAAGCTTCTGAGTACACTTCTCACATCTTTAAAATGTGATTTTGGATAGATTTCTGACGAAATCGCTTCATTTTGAATAGTTTCATTCTTTTAGAAATATGGGTTTGGCAACAATTTTTCATCGTATTTCTTATGTCACTATTTTTAAGAGATTGGCATATTTCATTGTCATATATATATATATATAATAGATTTTTATTGTTTTTTTTATAAAGTTTTTCTGCAGAGAGTAAAATTCTGCGTGGAATTTTATGTTTTTTGAGTTGCTTTCATGTTTTTTTTTTGCTTATTTCACTGTTTGTAAGATATTGAAAAGTTTTGCATGATTTTTTTTCTTAAACTTAAAGTTGGTTCATTTTTTTTATTAGGATAATTAATATTTGTATTAAGGGATATAGCTTATTTCATTGTAATTTTTTTCTCTTGAAAATATAAGATAAAATATCATTAATTATACTTTTCAGAATTTTTGTTTTTTTGTATTCTTTTATGTTATTTATTGCTCATTTCACTGTTTTTAAGATATTGAAAAGTTTTCAGTGATTTTTTTAGGAAACAATGTTTTTAACTTCCTTTATACCATTTGAGTTCTTAAGATTTTGCAAAGGGAAGTTGGTTAATTTATTTTAATTAATATTTGTATTAAGGGATATTGCTTATTTCATTGTAATTTTGTTATACGTAATAATGTTTTTTTTTTATGAAGTTGTTCTGGAAGGTAAAATTCTACACAGTTTTTAAATTTAACATTTGGTGTTCCTTTCAGCCATTTTTCTGGTACATTTAAAAGCCAGACAAAGGCTGGCAGCGAAGCTGCTAGTATGTATATAAATATTTATGTGGGATTTTAAATCCACAACTTAATATTTTTCCTCGCGCGCTGTTTAAATTTTAGCTGTTGACTGCACGAGTGAAATTGATAGAACTCTCGCCACTTTGTTTTATGAGAGGAGATGTAAGATGTTGTTTTATAGATGTAAGATGACATAGATGCTGTATTAATAAATTATATTATAGATGTATTAATGTTTTATTAAATGTGTTTTGTTTGAACATGAATTGTGATTTTGAAACTAAAGAACTCACAAAATTGGTGTCAGAATCGGGATCAAATTACAAACAACAAATAGAAGAATATGAAGCAATATTGGATGAAAGAAGGAACACTTCTGTTAATAGTGAAATCGATGCATCAACTTATCAAATTTTCAACGACTCTTCTTTTACTGTTATTGATGAAGATTATGAGGTAAAACAAAATATTAGTAAGTCGTCAGTTCACAGTTTTCAAATATGTATATAAATTTTAATGATATTGAAAGCTTGATTTCTAAATTTGATGGTAATCCGTATAATTCGGTTTACAAATTCATTGAGAACTTTGAGGATGTATCTAATTTGTTAAAACTAAATGAATTACAGAAATTGATATTCGCCAAAAGATCTTTAACTGGTAAAGCAAAATTATTTATTGAAAGTGAAACGAAAATTAATTCGTGGAATGCTGTTAAGGCTTTATTAGTAAATGAATATGGTGTTCAGTATAACTCTGCTCAGTTACATGAATTATTATCAAAATGTAAAATGCAGGAAAAAGAATCGCTATATGAATATTTTTTGGTAATTAAAACTATGTGTTCTAAAGGTAATATTGAAAACGCCGCTTTATTTGAATATGTTATTAATGGTATAAACAATTCTACATTTAATAAAGCCATTCTTTATAGTTGTAAAACGTTGGCAGAATTTCAGGAAAAGCTTAAGATATATGAAAAAATTAAATTAGATAATGATAAAAACAAATCCGTTAAGCCTAATTCTAAAACCAGAAGCGACCATTTTGAAAGTAAAATAAAAACAAATATTCGTTGCTATAACTGCGGAAATCTTGGTCACGTGAAGAATTTCTGCAAAAATAAGAGCAAGGGAAAAAAATGCTTTCGTTGTAATTTATTTGGTAACGTAGCCACAGAATGTATAAAAAATAAGACAAATATAAAAGACCTTGCCAGAGTGAATCATATATTTGTAAAGAAGCAGTTAAATGATATGCATAAAGCTGTATCGATAAATAATGTAGAAGTAAAAGCTCTTATTGACACAGGAAGTGATATAAATATAGTATCGGAAAATATTTATAAAGTAATTGGTTCACCTAGTATTAATTCTTCCAATTTGATTCTAGCAGGCTTTGGTAGTAATAAAGTAAAACCTGTTGGTTATTTTAAAGGTTCCATACGAATTGATGATTGTGAAATTAAATCTAATATTTATGTTGTACCTCAAGGAACAATGAAAGAAAATGCTGTTATTGGAAATGAATTGCTTTCGCAAATGGAAATTATTATAAACAAGAATGGCATATCTATGAAAGTAGCAGAAGATGAAAATGAATCGAATTTAATGTTTATAACTGTTGGTCAAGAAAATGGATTATATAATTGTTCGGATATTACTAAAGCATGTAAGTCCAAAGTAAAACACTTAATTGAAAGTTATATTCCCAATAAAACTGAAAATCCCTATAGAAGAAACAGATGCTGTTGAAAATGAATTAAAGGAAGAGGTGTCTCAGGAAGAGAAAAGTGATGTTAAACGTAGACAAGGAAAATTGCAAAATGTAGAGGAAGGGAAGAATTCCATTCCTAAAAGAAGAAGAAAAAATCCACCTAAGAAATTTCAGGAAATCAAAGAGAGTAATAGAAAAATTAATGATTCCAAAAAACCTACTTCAAAGCCAAAGAGTTCTAGAAAAAGAAAGAATTCAGAATCTGAGAAACTAGTTGAATATAATGCTGGTGAAACAGAAATATCAATAGTAAGAAAGAGTAAACAGAGAGAAACTTCCAGCTGAAGAACTGGATCCTGGTATATCTGAAAATCCTAAAGGAAGACAAGCCAAAGAAAAATCTACCAATATTGAAATGCTTAGTACTTTAAAAGATGACCAACCTATTTCTTTGAGACCCAGACGTTTACCAATTATAGATAAAGAACAACTAAAACAGGGGAAAACTATTTTACAAATGGATTTGAATGCTCCTGAACAACAAGTTAGATCTTTGGAAAGAAAACTTTCTGTATTAGAACAGAGTGTAGAAATGTTACTGAAACAACTATCAGAAGCCAAAAAGGAAGTAGAAACTACAAAATTTCAGATGAGAACCAAAAATAAAATCCTGTCTGAGAAAAAAAAAGAAGTTCAACATGTTAAATTGAAAATACAAGAAATGCTAGCTTTAGAAGAAGATTGCATGAGAAAAATGATGAAGAAGAGATTATATGACAAACAAGCAGAATTGGAAAGAAACATGTGTATGACTGAAGAAAAATTTCGTAAGTTGCGAGAAATTCTAGATGCTGATGATTGGGAACATTATGGAGACCTAGGTGATGCTGA